ACTGCCAGTGCCCCAGTGTCTACACAACACATTAAAAGTTAATGTTTCTCAATTAAAATGTATTATGTGCTTTTGATGTGTCATTTTAATTTTGTGTGCATTTCTTTATCTATCAGATTAAACTTCACAAGTCTAAATATCATTGTTGTTAACATCAGTGTCTTCCTTCAGGTCTATCTCCAAAGTGCTTCAACCTGTATAAAGTGAAGATAAAGACAATTGCACAGAGATCTGAACATGTCAATGAAGCACACATCATGAAGCCTTCTCTGCAGCCTCTCTGTGTGCAATGGCAATGTGTTTACCTGCACTAAGGTATTAGATTTTTGTGTATCATGAAACTTTTGAAAGTGTTTTGTTTCAGTAGATTATCACAACAACCTTGTGCTTCCTTTGTCAGAACTGGCCCTTCACCTCCACATCACCATCTGTGCGTCCATCATGTATCCATTGCAGCTCACCAGAGTCTTACTGATGGTGAACCTTAAACAAGTGATGTGCTGCAGTGACCCAGACTGCTGCAGATCTGTCACCACTCTGAGACTGAAGGTTCATCATCACTGCAGCATCAGACTTTGTTCAAAAGGTAAACATGTACTTTAATCCATGAGGAGAAGATGATGATCGCTGCAGCTTGTAAACACAACATTCAAACATGGCCCCTCCTCCTGTCCTCATCTCCCCCAGAAGCTCACCCTCACTGCAGGATGTAGTGTGTACGTTTACTGCTTGTTCCTGCACTTCAAGCTGACGCATGCTAGCACAAGCTAACCGCCGGTGTTTGTCACCTTCCTTTCCAACAGGAAGTAGACCAACTCCACGTCCACGGGTAAAAGACAACACAAGGTTCACCCTCGTTTTAGAACGAGCTTTATCCGCTTGGTGTTTCTCCACACTCTGATTATATTTTCTTTTCTTTGCTGCTACGTCCACATCCGTCATATTCACCAATTTGAATCGCGTCCAATCACTGAATTGTATCCACTCCTAGACTCACCTGCTGCGCTGTCATTGGCTGGAGGAAACACACCAGCTCACCGCCCACAAACGTCCCGAGTCAACCAGAACAAAGCAGAACAGTAAAATCCAGTCAGAGGACAAAGTCTCTGCAGACACAGTCACCACCACACATCTATGGAGGCCCAGAAGGGACAATGGAGCAGCTTCACTTTAGGAGAAGTCTGTATTTTATTTGGCAATAAAAAGTTACTGACTCTACCTTTAACCTGAAAGAACAGGCTGATTTGTTTTGAATTTAGTTTAGTTTGGGGTTTCAGCTGGTTATTGTATAAAAGGTTTTTCACATGTTTTTACTTTGCCTTGTGCTAATCTGATCCCTGTTGAACAGCAGTTTTATAATCTCATGACAACTGTTAATGTTAAAGACTGAAAGCTAAGCTGAAGGTTTGTCTTCACATCATCTACAACACATGGCTTAGTTAAATGACTCACGCATAAACTGTGTTTTTGGTTTGTTTTGTTTTTGGGTTTTTTTTACCAAAAATTGACCGCAAAACAGCAGCATCACAGAACACCCTACTGGTCTACAGAAATGACTGCTTCTCTTGATAAGACAAAAATGAATTGTAACTTTTTTTTGTATTGTTCTTTATGTCACCGAACACGTCATTGAACACATCAAAGGTCAAACATTTCAGAATTTTATACCTTTACTCATAAACTGTAATTTTTGTTTGTTTTGTTTGTTTTTTTAACCAAAAATGACACAGAACACTACTGGTTTACTTAATAAGACAAAATTTAATTTTCTCTTTTTTTTGTATTGTTCTTTACTTTTTATGATCCATTATAGGTATTATTTGATTTGATTTCCTTTCATTTATTTTATCCTCATGCCTGCTCTCCCTATCATCATTTATTTGTTCTCCATTAATAAGACTTTATTCTTTTGATGTATCATTTTCTAAATTTGTTTTGTGTTCATTTTTCTATTTTTATTTATATTAGTCTATGCTGTTTATTTAGGATTACATTGAAGTTGCAATATTAAGCTATAGTATATTATAAACCCTATCACATATCTGTGTCATCCTAAGATAGCTGTATTATGATGTATTTTTATACAACTTTGTTAAAAAGATTAAAACTATCCACTTTCTCTGCCAATTTTGTTGTCTTTTTTATTCCTGTTCAACACAAGGTTTTACAAATATTTGTCTTCTTTCCCACAAAATCATCATTTAGCCACCAACTCTTAATTTAAGCCCTTGAAATGAGCACTCAATAGGGAGACGTTTTCTCCTTTTTCTCATTGTCTGACTGCATTTAAGCAGTCTTTATGCAGTATCTTCTACTTGTTCTACCACTTCTACTACTCCTTTTACTTCTTCTTCTTGTTCTTCTGATTTTACTGATTTTACTTCTTGTTCTTCTGCTTTTACTGCTTCTTGTTCTTCTGCTTTTACTGCTTCTTGTTCTTCATCTTCTACTAATACTTCTACTCCTTTTACTTCTTTACTCCTTTCAACTTTCAACTTGTTCTTCTGCTTTTACTGCTTTTACTTCTACTACTACTCTTTTACTATTTCCTCTACTTCTTCATCTACTTTTTCTTCTACTACTACTATTCTTTTACTATTTCCTCTTCTACTTTTTCTTCATCTACTATTCCTTCAGCTGTTTCTGCTGATTCTTCTTCATTCAGCAGTGTTTTGCAAAACATTTCAGCGGTCAGCATTCTCACGCATTTTCCGCAGCAAATTGTCTAGTTATTATTATTATTAGTATTCCTCCTTTTTTTGGCTGGTATCTACTCCTATACTAATTGTGCTAGAAACATGGTTCAAACTGGAAATGGTAAAGCTAGTTGATGAGAATTGTGCTAGTACTTGTAGTGATGCCACAATGTTTCAGTGATTTAATATGAATATTTTAAACTGTAAAAAAATGAATGGAACCCTATGGGACACAATTTTGAAAGCTCATAACTCAAAAACTGATAGTACCATGGTATTCAAACTTCAGATTATGGTTCCTAATGGTACCATGTTTACCATACTAAAAGATGATACTCATAGCGCCACCATATGATGAGATATTAAGCGTTATGCTACCAATGATAATAATTTGCTAAAAGTTAGCCGTTCTAAAATAATAATCACAAAGAGTGTTCCTTGGATGGTACTGAAAAGATCAGTTAAACAGTGTGCCTATAAAGACAGCAAACGTTTTACTGTAATCAGTACTGTAAACAAAACATTTTCTATTTCGCTTAATGTTTGATCATTTTGTCAACTGCCTTCAGGAAGGCATCAGGATGTTGTACGATTTTTTTCAGAATTTTACGATCAAATTCTGAAATTTGAAGTGTTTAAATTTTAAAAGAGTTTTCACCAAGTGATTTCATTGCCTCATATAGTAAAAGTGCATGCTGAATCCTTGTCTGCACTGTGGCGCAGTGACTTAGGCTGCTGGCAAGTCCACCTAACTCGAAGATACTGTATTCAATTCCTGAGAAACTACATAAGCTACTCACTAGCATGCTGACTCCAGGTCATGTGTGCTGTGAAGGTTTTTGCTTTTCTCAACACTTAAATGTTTGACTGATTTTAACTGAAATTTTTAAATGTTAAATATTAAATAGAGCAGATCTTAAATGGCTGATATCTCAAAAACTAAAAGTGCTATAGTATTCAAACTTGGCCATGTGGTTACTGGTTGTACAATGCTCAATATACTCATAAATGATCCTATAGCGCCACCGTCTGGTCAGTCATCAAAAATGTTGTGTTCAAGGCTCATGTACTCATAAATGACTCGTTTGCTGCAAGTTGTATTCCATTTGTAAGTTCACTTCTCTATATTTTTTACAATTATGTTCAACATTTTTTTAAAGTCTAAGGTCTAAAAACCAAAGATTTTCCAGTGTTTTGTCACTGCCCCATAGTGTGGTATGGTTTGATGGTGTTTTGTCTCTCTGTAGCCCAGTGGGTGAAACAGCTACTCAGGTAATCTGATGATTATGGTTCGATTCCCCAGAGTTCCATACTACTTGTTTATTATGGAAACTTGTTCCTGTGGTGACAACAGTCACCAACAGTTGACCTACAGGTGGTGCTCAAGTACTTCAAAAATGTTAGCTGCTGCTTGGAAGTGGAAAAAGCTGCCAAACAGACTGTGGTAGCGATGGCTGCCAAGGCCATGGCTGTGATTCTAGTTGAAAATGTGGTTTCAGACATGCCTTTTTTTCTTTTTCAGAAAGTCAATATCATGGATGTGGGCAATAATGACAGTGCCTAGGGTGTGTTTTTACTCCTGCTTTTACAGTGTTTTACCATAAGAACATCAGGTAAACCATCTGACTTCATTTTTTCATGTATCTTTTCTCCTATTTGAGTTGTCATGTGCTTCAATTAAAAGCATTTGATCAAATGAATAAGTTCATTTGTTTCCCGACACACAAACCAAACTGATTGCGCTATATATGTGGGGGTTTTGAAGACCAATTAATAAGAATGTGATACTCAACTTTTTCACAGTATAAGCCTACCCCGCTAAAAATTCTTATGATATTTAATTCTGTTAGTGTTGCATTTTACCACCCCGGTGATAATGTATATCAGCTATTCTTACATTATTTAAAGAGCCCATATTATGCCCTTTTTGGGGTTCGTATATTTAATCTATGTACCTACTTTTGTACGTTCACAATAGCTAAAGTCCGAAAAAAGTGTCGGTTTTCATGTACTGCTCCTCCTTGCTCCCTCCTACGCTCTGAGTCCGTCAGCTACGCTCTGCTGAGCCAACACTGTTAGACCCCACGTGGGCCAAGTCTGCTCTGATTGGTCTGCCGATCCGCTCTGTCGTTATTGGTCAGACCAGAAAAAGCATGATATGGGACCTTTAAATACTAACAGTTTAGATGTCATTTTTCTGCACCACCAGGGCTTTCCCCCAGCTCCAGATCAGGTCCCTCCTCCCAGTCTGTCCAGTTCAGCTGTGGATCCACTGTGTGTCCTTCAGGCACAGACTGTGTCAGAATGAATGGGACTCTCCAGTGTGCTGACCCCTGCCAGGAGTACACTGTGCTGAATGATGACTGGCGATCAACAAAGAACACGTCCCCCCAGAACCTACACTGTGACCAACATGTTGACTGGCAGGGCTGGTATCGGCTGTTTCTGGGGCAAACAAGTGCTCATATTCCAGAAAGGTGTGTGGCTGAAAGAAGGTGTGGAACCCATGCTCCTCTGTGGATAACAACTCCTCATCCCACACAGTCAGGTCAGATTGTGAGCCGCACTGTGTGTAACTCATGGTCAGGAAGCTGCTGTTATTTCTCCTCACACACCATTCATGTCAAACTCTGCTATGGAAACTACTTTGTCTACAAACTTGTGTGGCCAATCTCATGTTACTATGCATACTGTGCAGGTATTGTTCCATTTGTAACATTAAGTCTGTAACAAGAGATTTGAAATTCTCATCTAATTCAGTTATTTAAAGAATGACTCTATTGTCCTGTTGTTCTTAATTCTAAATAAAAATGTTCCTTTAGTTAAGCATCAGTATCTACTTGTTTTCATTGTAACCAGAGGTGAACGGAGCAACTCCCGAAAATCCTTCAACCACACCTGATCCAAGTACAGCGACCTCTTCTGCCAGTCAGGTCAATATCACCTCCACCACAACACCCGACAACAGCTCAGCAGTTGAGGGTGAGGTCCGTCTGGTTAACAGAGGGAACCAGTCCTGCTCTGGCAGAGTAGAGATCTTCCACCGTGGACAGTGGGGGATGGTGTGTGATGATCAATGGGGCCTGGCTGATGCTCAGGTGGTGTGCAGACAGATGGGCTGTGGCAGGGCTCTGTCAGCACCATCAGTTGCCTATTTTGGACAGGGCAGTGGACCCATCTGGATGGATGATGTCTCTTGCACAGGCAGCGAATCAAAGCTTGGAGAGTGCAGGCACAGAGGGTTTGGATCACACAACTGTGGACACAATGAAGACGCTGGTGTCGTCTGTGAAGGTAAATATAATTGTTTCGATCTGTCAGAAATTCGTTATGGTGTTATATTCGGCAGAGAGGAGTTAAGTAATCAGGAACCTGATGGAGAAATATGAGTTTGATGCAAATATTATCGTCATGCTCTTCAACCTTTAGGAGTCTGTGTCCTGTTGAAGTAGATAGGTAGTATGTAGTTTTAACATATATCATTGTCTTTATGATGTTGAAGAGGGTTTTACTTGTCAGATAACTATTTCATTAACATAAAATATAATCTTTACACTTCTTAAGCAGCTAGAGACTGTTACAATTTTTTTAAACATCTTGTCTTTTGAAGTTGTCATGAATGTTAAAAAAAAACAAACAAAGGAGGTGGACCCAATTGCAGAAACTAACGGAAATATTTACGAACTGAAATATCCAAAAAGTCCAAAAGAAGGACACAAACCACGAGGAAACACTGACATCTACAACTAACATACAACAACTTACAATGATCTGAAAACACGAGGGAAGGAACACAAAGACTAAATAGACACAGGGTAATCAGACACAGGTGAGACGTATGACACAGGGAAACACAGAGACAGGAATTAAGACAAGAAACCGTGAGGACCAGAACTACAATATAAATCAGGAAACACTGAAGACACAAAGAGAACTCAAGAATGTAACAATAACAAAACACACTAGAACATTGTTGGGGTTGTATCAAGTCAACTTTGGTTATATTCTTTAATAATTATACTTAATTATTAATAATATAAATAAAATATCATTAAACTATGTTTAATCTCGTTTTGGGGCACCAACCTGTAATCAGGTAAATATAACCAAAATATCACTCAAATCAGTCTCAAATTAGTTATTTAAGTACTAATATTATTAATAATGAATAACTATATTTAATAAATTGAAGGCGTGAAATCCGTACACAAAGCCTTCGCACCCAGCTTATATCACAATGCAAATACACCAGTAATCACAAACAACTGCTCTCTTAGATTATAACAGAATTTATGTAAACAAAGCAACATCAATCCAAAATCAATGAACTTAATTAAACAAATAACTATTATAAACTAATCTAAGCAACAAACATTATCAAGCAAAGGCTTGTGGAAGGGGTGTGAATGTAGGTGTGTGTGTGTGTGTGTGTGTGTGTGTGTGTGTGTGTGTGTGTGTGTGTGTGTGTGTGTGTGTGTGTGTGTGTGTGTGTGTGTGTGTGTGGGGAGGGAGATGGCTTCGTACCCACGTGGTCGTTCACGATGGCGCAAACCTAACAAAGACCTGGGTGCGTGCGTGTGTGGATGAAAGGGAGAGAAAAGGGGGGGGGAAGATTACTTCGTCCCACGTGGTCGCCCTTCCGATGGCGCACACCTAACAAAGGCCTAAATGTGGCCTTAATGTCTAAAAGAGTCCGAGTTCGACCCTACACGATCTGTGTCTCTGAGGCGTCTGGATAGCCGCGAGTGTTTAGAGCTCTGTGCGTAATGGCGCGGTGGTGGAGTTGGTCTCCAGATGTACGTTTACACGGGAATATGTGTGTGTGTGTTTGTAGAAGGGGAAATAAAAGAGGATAAAAGAGAATAAAAGAGAAATGCATGCCTGAAGAGGCCGGATCACAGTCCGACTCCCGCGCCACAACTCGGAGTAATTCCCTTCATTCACAGAAACAAACCAATGGCCGAATTCAAGTTAATACGGCTTACACTGGCCTTTCTGATCAGAAGAGTAATACCCGGTTATAATGCTGTTACGCTAAACACATATAGGACGCAGCGGTCCGAAACAACAACAAGAGTTTTAAACAGTTAAAACTCAGGACGCAGCGGTCCAACAAAGATAAAAAAAATTACAGTTTCTGCTTCGATCAACAATTGTTAAAAACACTCTCTAAAGCTAATTCTGCCCAGACCTAATTAAGCCTCACTTGTGAATCGCTTTGTCCGCGATTGGTGAAAGGAAAAGAGTCCGGCGATGGAGCAGATCTTCTGTCCGTCCTGGTGCAGAGGCGTCTGATGGCGGCGAGGGTCCCTTACGGCGAGACGCTCTCCGAGAAACTGAGATGCGTTCACTGGACAATCCGAGCTCGGAATTTAGAACACTGCCGGCCGCGGATTACCTGCACGCCAAAAAAACTTAAAACAAAGGACGATTGTTGCAGAAACAGGAGGTGAGCTTGGGTCTCCGAGCACTAGAAGTCAGCGTGTGGAAAGAGGTCGAGCAATGGAAGTCTTGGAGTTTTTGTAGCCTGGCCTGCTCCATGGGGGGTCTACCTCAGGTCCCCTCCAATGAGGAGAGAGAGGTTCCGGTCCCCCCCTTACTTCACGCGTAGGTGCGAAGTACCGCAGGGGATTCTGGGATTAAGAGTCCTTTTAGGCCTCTTTGTGATCTCAGTGAATAACTCAAATGAGGCTTTTACAGAGGTGCAGGCCCAAGTCCATTGTTTGACTGTCCTAAGCCTGCGTGGCCCAAGATCCCCCCTTTGTCCTGAAGAATGGGATTGCGGGTCGCGGTCTTTAGGGCAAATAGGGCCAACAGTCCATGTGTTAGGAGACAAATGTTCAAATAGTTAGTGAGCAAAAGTCCATACATTTTGAGAGGCATTCGGTCTGGGCAGACACTGAGGCAAAGTCTGGGCAGACTGTCTAACTATGTCTAAAGCTAGGCATAAAACATAACCAGGCATTAGCAAAGCTTTGCTACTCAAGGTGCATTCTTTAACAAAACAAATGAAACAAACAGACAAGAGGAGAAGAGAAAGAGAAGAGTATCAGTTGTAGATTTGTGGGCTAACTCCTAGCCTGGGCAGGAGTAAGCCTGTGGGAAGGTGTTTGTGGCATGTAGGTGTGTAAATGTACATGTACATTATGTGTTTCCCTACCAATGTCAAAACACAAAACAGAGACTAGGAAACATTCATGTTGGTAGAGTGACATTGTTGTGTTTCCAGAATGGAGGCTACACCCCCACTCCTATGTGGAGTCAGAATCGGGTTCTCTGTAAGCGAGGGAGACCCCCTGACATACCACATCTTTCATGCGCTCCAACTCCCTGGCAGAACTGGCAGAACTTGCTTCCTTAGGGAGCTCGTAGGAACTCCGGCTATACCTACCCTTCTGTCTCAGGCTACGGCCATCCCGAGAGTTCCGTTCGGATCTGGTAGTGATCAGTTCTCCAGGCTGGAACCTACTCTGTGGTTGGGTCCTACCTTCACCCCCCTGGCTCTGTTCTCTATTCTGCCGGTGATATGGTCTCTTATTCCTAGCACGAGGCAACTTGTTGCCCTCACGTGACACGTGACGTAAGCGTGTCTGCCAAACCACCTGTGCGAATCTCTTGATCTCTTTCATACTAAGCTGATGTGTACGACTATGCAGGGTGACATCTGAACGCACGCAGCCATGCAGATTGTGCATGAAGATGGACTTGAAAGTTGGGTTCTCTTCCAAACCTGGAGCCTCACGTCCCTGAAAATATGCAGATCTTAGTCGCCAGTAATAATCTTTGGGGGCCTCGTGCTTCTTAATAAATTGAAGGCGTGAAATCCGTACACAAAGCCTTCGCACCCAGCTTATATTACAATGCAAATACACCAGTAACCACAAACAACTGCTCTCTTAAATTATAACAGAATTTATTTAAACAAAGCAACATCAATCCAGAATCAATAAACTGAGGAGTCCCCCCCTTACTTCACGCGTAGGTGTGAAGTACCGCAGGGGATTCTGGGATTAAGAGTCCTTTTAGGCCTCTTTGTGATCTCAGTGAATAACTCAAATGAGGCTTTTACAGAGGTGCAGGCCCAAGTCCATTGTTTGACTGTCCTAAGCCTGCGTGGCCCAACAACATAGAGAAGCACAAGAATATGTAACTACAAAATAAAACAGGAAACTCTAAAGATCAAACAAGAAAACATTGACACACAAGGGAAACAAGCAACACTAGAATAGACAATCATCAAGAAAGACAGAAAGTGACAACTGAGCAACACTAGGGAAGAATGAGAAATTAAAACAAGGAAAACTAAACACTGAAAATACACAACTAAACAAGACCATATCATGACAGAAGTCACTCTTTCTTGTGTCTCTCATCATCAACATAATGCCTCATGTTTTCCGTCAGCTGCTGCACCAGTCAGGCTGGTCAACTCTAATAACCGCTGCTCTGGCAGAGTGGAGGTCTACCATGATGGTCGGTGGGGGACAGTGTGTGACGATGCCTGGGACCTCAGGGATGCTGACGTGGTGTGTAGACAGCTGGACTGTGGCCCTCCTCGTTCAGCATTACTAAATGCAGCTTTTGGTCCGGGCAGTGGACCCATCTGGTTGGATGATGTTGTTTGTTCCGGCAACGAAAAATCAATAACGGAGTACAGACATCCAGGGCTTGGGGTCCACAACTGTAATCACGTTGAAGATGCCAATGTCGTCTGTGAAGGTTAATGTTTACTCTTGTTTAAGTAATTGCCAATTGTTGTTGTTCATATTAAAGAGGACATATTATATCCATTTTCCACCTTTTCAAACAGTCCCCTGTGGTCCAAATTAAACATCTGTTATCAAAATATAACATGAATCAAGCACCAGTGGAGGTTTGTGGCCCTGTATAAACCAGCTCTCTCAGAACGCTCCGTTTTGGTGTGTGTGTCTCTTTAAATGCAATTACCCCCCCTGAGATTTCCCTGTAGACATCACTCCTCTGTAACGAATATAAAAATGGCAGATCTGTGCAAGAATTTTGTTCTAGGCTGGGGGTGGAGTCCATTGGTCGAGGTACCAGGGGAGGGGAGGGTATATTTTTACCAGAATCCCACTGTGACATCACAAGGAGACCAAATTTGAAACGGAGGATTTTTCTTTGTGTTGTAAGACTTACCTGCAGAAAACAAAGGACTTGAGGGATTTATTTCACATTTTGTGGGTCAGTAGACACTCAGGTTACCCAAATATATGTTCAAAAATACTGTCGAAGTGGATTTTTCATAATATGTCCTCTTTAAATTCCAATATTTGTTCTAAAATGATTTTCTTTCACGTGTTCATAGTGAAGCGACAGTTTACAGAGTTTGTGATTTGGTTTCACAGGATATATGCATGATAATTTTTATTGTGTTCTCTTATCCTTTTATTCTTTTATTTCCAGACTCTGCACTGCATGATCACCAGCTAATTTGCAGCCCTGATAAACTTCAAATGGGGCTGGATTTGGCTGACCTCACCTCAAGTTTGAACCCATACTCTGGCAACTTGGCATCTCTTAATTGCTCCTGGGCCAGAGTACAAAATAACACGGTGTGGTATGAAGTAGACGCTGTGGAAGGTGCCTGTGGAAGCACTCTGATGGTACAGACTTAGTTGTTGTTTTATTTCTTAGCTTTTCCTTTGGAAATTAATTTCAACATTTTCTTTTGTCATGTTATTTTCCTTCAAATTGATTTTAAACATGCAGTTAATGGAAAAATGTTAAAATCTGGACCTCTTTAAAATATTTATCCTATTGTCCCTCTTCTTTTACTGTACTCCAAGTTAAACCTTATAGCTTTTGGTTGGTCTGAGACTAAATTTAAGGTGCACAGGGACTCATTATTCATTATCTTAAAACATTTTAAATATAGCTTCTCCCCCCTGTAGGGAAGTTTTTTCTCCCTCTCTTTGGTAATGCTTTTAATGGAGCTGCTCACAGCACTTCAACTAAAGTTTACATGTCTATGTGCTTTCCGTTAATTCAATCAACCCGTTTTTCAGAACAAAACAAAAACCAGGCTTGATGAATAAAAACACAGTTGTGCTGGTTTGATCAAAAATTCAGTGATATCATATTTTTTATAATCAAATTCAAGAATGTGATGGTACCACGGTGAATGAAAGCAGTGTTGTAGGGTTTGTGTCAGCAGCATGAGTATACAGGATGTCTAACCTATAACCCACTTTAAATAACATCATAGCCTACAGTGTAGGTTTTGTTCAGTATGAAAAAGAGAAACATGCTTTGTACAGCACTAAAGCCCATTAATAAAGTGTTTGAGTGAGGTCCAAACACACGTTTTGTTGGACAGTCAGCTATTTGAATTTATCCCAGAGTAATCCCATTGTTGTACTGTAAAGTCGATCCCTCTTCTCTCGCTTTGTCCTACCCTAACCCATCATCAAATTATTCCACTGCCTGTTGTCTGTATCAGCATGATTACATAAACTACTACAACCACAAAACCAGATTATTCAGAAATCATTTTGATTGTACAAAATTGAAGGTCCTATATGTATCTTTTTACATGTATAAATAGTTTTTATTGCCCATTAATAAGCGAACAGTTAACTGATGTGAAAAAGTAAACTGTCTATGTATGTTCCTGTATAAAACACTCCGCTCCGCTTACAGAGATCAACAGTAGTGCATGTCGGGAATGTCGTTTGTAAGATGTAAAATAAATCTAATATGGAATCTGTTAGTACAAATAAACGACCGGCCTAAAGCAGAACACAGACTCCTTCGCAGACTCTCATTATGCCGGTAAATATCCAGTGTTTCGTGGCCGATGATGATGCTTGTTTGTGTACGTACGAGCACGTATGACGAGCACGTGAGCGAGAGCGAGCAACAGGTTACTGGTGCAGTTCACCTAACGGCCGGCAGTGTCACTACAAACGCAGTATTTTTGAAAGTTACATATAGCCCCTTTAAGATGTTTAATTGAACATCAATTCAAACTTACTTTCTTTGCAGGTCTTCAGGGGGTATTTTAGGATCTGGTGCCGGACCCAGTGCCGTCATGTCTCTTTTCCGTAACTCCGCCTTCACTGAGACTTTCCCAGCTGGAGGGGTCAACCTGCCACTGGGTTCACCTTTGTACGTGGGTGTCTCTGTAACAGAAAGAGAGCTCAGATTTGTTGTTGTTCTGGAGGAATGTTACGCCTCTCACTCATCCGATCCTCACTATTACCAGCGATACTCTCTCATCCAGAACAAGTGAGTGTCCCTCTTCTCTTTAGACTCAGAACATTGTTTGTGGAGTTAAACTGAAATGGAGAAAAGTGAGATGTAGTGTAATATGCTTTATGGACTTGGTGAGCTCTTTTTGTTCTCTCTGCCAGGTGTTCGACCGATGCCCGACAGGTGTCTGTGATTGAGAGCGGCATGTCTTTGCGTGCTCGTTTCTCTGCCCTGCTCTTCCTGCTGGAGGACGATTATAGAGCCATTTATCTTCACTGCAACATAAGCCTGTGTGACCGAGAGAGATTTCACTGTGTCCCAGTAAGTCAAACAGTTCACTTCATCAATGAGTTGTTCATCCATAATCACTGCTGCTTAAAAAAATGGACAGTGACAATATCTGCTCTTTCTGTATCCTCTCTACCATGAAGTCCTGTCGAAGGAGGAAATATCGCTCTGTTTCCAGCTCTGTTGCTATGGACCGCGTCACCATTGGACCAATTGCTTGTGAGTAAATTGATTGATATGATTTAGTCTGAGGGCTGATGTCCCAACACAATAAACTGTGTGGAAATAACAAGCATGTTTTTTTCTTATATCTCTTTCCTAACCTTTAGGGGACAAGTCAACTAAGTGAGCTGGTTACACCAACACATCCCATAATGTCATATCATGAAGACGTTTCTCTTGTGCACAAGACATGAAACTATTTTGAAAACTGGTTTAACCTTTTATAATCAAACTTTTCACACTCACACACAGTCTGCTCTGATGGTTTTAAGTAGAAGGGGGCAGGTGAAATCCTGATGTATTGGTACAAATAGTGCAGCCATTGAATTTGTCCATGAAGGAGAGAAATGTAAGGGAGGTAGGCAGGAGTCAGGCTATCTAAAGGGTGCTGGTGATTGGGAGATGCAGGTGGATTTGAAAACACATTGTTCCACAGGAAATAGTTTCACTAGCCTGAGGCCTGACATAGTATTATGGTCTGTGAGTCAGAGGATAGTTTATCCTGTTTCTACAAACTCTCTACAGACTCAACTCTTGATTTTCTCTTGTGTAATGTTAGCACCAGGAATAGTTTCATTTTTTGTTTGTTTGTTTGCTTGGCCTTTTTTACAGAAGGACGCAATAGCTCAGAGAAGTTCTTCAGCTGGGTATAATGGATGCTGAGAGCTTGCATTAAGGAGGGTGGCTCTGGGACGCCGGAGCTTACTGCCAAGTCTTCCAGAGGTGTCGTGGGTCTAACTTGATGAAACACTGCTGAGTTTTCCCCGTAGACATCACTCCTCTGTAGCAAGACTTAAAATGGCAGACCTGCACAAATGTTTTGTTCTCGCCTGGGGGAGAGTCTATGGGTGGAGATATCAGGGGAGGGGAGGGATATTTTTTTTTTAACAGAATCCAGCATGTGTCATCACAAGCTGAGCAAATTTGAAACGGAGGAGTTGGTGGCGGGTCCTGAGGCTCCACCAGATGAGAACCAATTGTCTATTGGTTAGTTCCTACACCACATGTACACAGACCGTAGAGTTCAAACCTGACCTCCTACATATCATACCAAACTTTTCCCTCTTCTAAAGCTTATTAACATTTTTCAAACCATCTTTAGGTTACTGCTTCCAATTGGACCGGAGTGGAACAAGGGGATTGGGTTCATTTGTACTGCAAGGTATTGATGGGAAAATAAAATCACTTTGGTGACCCGCAGATTTTTCCTCTTACACTATCAAAATTTGAATGAATTCCAATCCATTGAATTATCATAGAATATATGGCATTTCCATCTGTACAAATATGCTTACAGTGGCATGCAATCCTCTATCATTGCTGTCACTTGTTTATGTTGTCAAAACTCTCCATGAAGTCAGATGAAACTTTGACACAGCACATCCACTTGATGAGGGAGATTGGCTCCGAATTTGAAATCTAAATTCTTTTTTTAACATCAACTAAGGTTGTTTTTCTTTCAAACTTGATCTTGTTCAACAATATCTTTATATTGTTAGCTGTTTTTTAAGCAGAATTTTAATGTTCCTGTTATCAAGTCATACTTTAAAATTAACAACTCAGATTTCAGAGAGTTAAAACCCACAGAAAATAAAATATTTCTGGAAGTACCATTACTTCTCTTTCATCTGCGTGTAGCTTAAATGGGGTCGACTTTGCTATCAAGATTGTGTGCCACACAATAACATTTATTTATGATGATCAAAACAACCTCAGCGTCCAAATATTATCTGTTAATCTCACTGTGCTTTACTATTGGTTTAGCTTAATGGAAGTCTTATCAGTAAAATAGTTTGAGCCAATTTACTCCAACGCATCCAGAGCAGAAGCTGTTGTAAAAAGGATATTAGGATATTAATTTGATAATGGAACAAAGTCCTGAGTCGACCATTTACTTGGCATAATAAAACATTTATGTTGGAGATATGATGGGGAAAAATTATGGGAAGGCACAAAACAATCTCACTAAATGATTATAAGAAATTATACATTAATACAAAATAGGTCATCCACTCTAGCACACTGTTATCTTTGTTTTTTTTCCCTGCACTGAATAATTGTCGCTCTAGATTTCAGAGAAATACCAGACCCTTTAAATATTATGAAACTTAAGATCGGGTCCTAAATGCACAATATGTAGTCCAAACTGCTTCCATGAGACATCCAGTTTGATGCATTCATGTAGCAAGTGCTGATTGGATTGGATTAAATGGAAATCGTCAAAATGAGATTTGCACATATTAACTAAAATCATGATAACACACATGGTGGATAGTTTATACAAAGTTCTTTTGTATAAGAACTTTGTATAAACAAATAAGATTTTTTGAAATAACTAATTTGAGGTGTTTTGTTTTTCTTACTTGCTGTAGAATTACTTCACTTCAGTATTCACCATCTTCTTTACCAGGGTTTTAAAAGTTGATCTTAGCTAAAAGCATAACGTCTGTATCTTTATCAAGGATTAATCCGTATCATTGTTCAACTTTTGCTGAAATTAACATTGAAGCCTCTTCAATACCTACAAAAGGAAACCAGACCATCACAGACTAATTTGACTAATAAGTCAATCTTAGCACCTGTAACCGCTGCCACCTAGTAGGTACAGCACACTGCAGAAATGTCCTTTTTCTTCTATCTAAGCTGTAAGTTTGGTCTGTTGTAAGGTCCATATACTGTACATGGCAACATGTACAGTATATGGTACATTAAGTAGAAGGGGGCAGGTGAAATCCTGATGTATTGGTACAAATAGTGCAGCCATTGAATTTGTCCATGAGGGAGAGAAATGTAAGGGAGGTAGGCAGGAGTCAGGCTATCTAAAGGGTGCTGGTGATTGGGAGATGCAGGTGGATTTGAAAACACATTGTTCCACAGGAAATAGTTTCACTAGCCTGAGGCCTGACATAGTATTATGGTCTGTGAGTCAGAGGATAGTTTATCCTGTTTCTACAAACTCTCTACAGACTCAACTCTTGTTTTTCTCTTGTGTAATGTTAGCACCAGGAATAGTTTCATTTTTTGTTTGTTTGTTTGCTTGGCCTTTTTTACAGAAGGACGCAATAGCTCAGAGAAGTTCTTCAGCTGGGTATAATGGATGCTGAGAGCTTGCATTAAGGAGGGTGGCTCTGGGACGCCGGAGCTTACTGCCAAGTCTTCCAGAGGTGTCGTGGGTCAAACTTGATGAAACACTGCTGAGTTTTCCCCGTAAACATCACTCCTCTGTAGCAAGACTTAAAATGGCAGACCTGCACAAACGTTTTGTTCTCGGCTGGGGGAGAGTCTATGGGTGGAGATATCAGGGGAGGGGAGGGATTTTTTTTTTAACAGAATCCAGCATGTGTCATCACAAGCTGAGCAAATTTGAAACGGAGGAGTTGGTGGCGGGTCCTGAGGCTCCACCAGATGAGAACCAATTGTCTATTGGTTAGTTCCTACACCACATGTACACAGACCGTAGAGTTCAAACCTGACCTCCTACATATCATACCAAACTTTTCCCTCTTCTAAAGCTTATTAACATTTTTCAAACCATCTTTAGGTTACTGCTTCCAATTGGACCGGAGTGGAACAAGGGGATTGGGTTCATTTGTACTGCAAGGTATTGATGGGAAAATAAAATCACTTTGGTGACCCGCAGATTTTTCCTCTTACACTATCAAAATTTGAATGAATTCCAATCCATTGAATTATCATAGAATATATGGCATTTCCATCTGTACAAATATGCTTACAGTGGCATGCAATCCTCTATCATTGCTGTCACTTGTTTATGTTGTCAAAACTCTCCATGAAGTCAGATGAAACTTTGACACAGCACATCCACTTGATGAGGGAGATTGGCTCCAAATGTGAAATCTAAATTCTTTTTTTAACATCAACTAAGGTTGTTTTTCTTTCAAACTTGATCTTGTTCAACAATATCTTTATATTGTTAGCTGTTTTTTAAGCAGAATTTCAATGTTCCTGTTATCAAGTCATACTTTAAAATTAACAACTCAGATTTCAGAGAGTTAAAACCCACAGAAAATAAAATATTTCTGGAAGTACCATTACTTCTCTTTCATCTGCGTGTAGTTTAAATGGGGTCGACTTTGCTATCAAGATTGTGTGCCACACAATAACATTTATTTATGACGATCAAAACACCCTCAGTGTCCAAATATTATCTGTTAATCTCACTGTGCTTTACTATTGGTTTTGCTTAATGGAAGTCTTATCAGTAAAATAGTTTGAGCCAATTTACTCCAACGCATCCAGAGCAGAAGCTGTTGTATAAAGGATATTAGGATATTAATTTGATAATGGAACAAAGTCCTGAGTCGACCATTTACTTGGGCATAATAAAACATTTATGTTGGAGATATGATGGGGAAAAATTATGGGAAGGCACAAAATAATCTCACTAAATGATTATAAGAAATTATACATTAATACAAAATAGGTCATCCACTCTAGCACACTGTTATCTTTGTTTTTTTCCCTGCACTGAATAATTGTCGCTCTAGATTTCAGAGAAATACCAGACCCTTTAAATATTATGAAACTTAAGATCGGGTCCTAAATGCACAATATGTAGTCCAAACTGCTTCCATGAGATATCCAGTTTGATGCATTCATGTAGCAAGTGCTGATTGGATTGGATTAAATGGAAATCGTCAAAATGAGAACAAAGTTCTTTTGGTATGAACGTGTGTGTGTACAGTAGGCCTCGAGCGCCTGTGGTCTAGTGGTTAATTCGCACACCCTATGTACACAGGTTGTAGTAAATCTTTAAAAGTTTGTTTGGAAATATTCTGTTGGGATTTTATCATTAAAAACTATTAATTATGTTAATTTTTGACAGTAATATGTCTTCTACAACAGGAGGGGGCTCCAAGGAAAACGGAATGGGGACCACTGGACTGGTTGATCAAAGTACCTTTTCATGGTTACCTTTATGCTCAAAAACCCATTGTCCTCTGGCATTTTAGTCCCAGATGTTTACTAAAGGTGGTTCAAAAGGGCTAGTCGGAGGATAGAGTGATGTGCAAACTAGTGAAGAACGAGAGGTCTCCATTATGTTTCAACACTGACCTGAGATTGATTGTGGCACCATAAAGTATATTGACTCAGGACTTTGTTTGCATGCCAGAACTGATTGAATTTTATCCATTTGTCTTATTTAAATTAATAAGTAACTCTTGATGTCACACTTGATGTATCAGTGCTTTCAATGACCCATTTATGTGGTTCACCAATGAATGCTTCGCATTGTCTTTGGACACACAAACAGGCGTATAAATTCTGACACTCACTGAAAGATCTGAAGCTTCAACTATTCCAGTCCTAGACTCGGCAGTAGCTCCAAGGTTAGCACAAAGACGGGTAAAGTATTGAATTGTTTGCATTGCATTGAAAATGTGGTTGAAGACGTGTCTTTTTTTCTTTTTCAGAAAGTTGATATCGTGGATGTGGGCAATAATGGCGGTGCCTAGGAGTGTGTTATTACTCCTGCTTTTACAGTTTTTTACTGTAAGAACATCAGGTAAACAGTTTGATTTCGTTTTATCATGAATCTTTTCTCCTATTTGTTTCTGTTAGTTGCATTTTATCACCCAGTGATAATTTGAAGCTGTCATTCTTACATTAGTTAAATACTAAAAGTTAAGAAGTAATTTTTCAGCACCAACAGTAGTAGTAGTCTTGTCTTGCACATAATTTCAATTATATTCTAAGGATATCAGTATCACATTTGTATGTTTTTCAGATGTGCACTATTCTGTAATATTCAAGCAGAAAAAACAAGTTGTTCTAAAAAAAAGTGAATGTAATTTACGTCACTCTCATGTAATAGAGTTACTTTTTAAATTGAAAAGTTTTTATTTTACGATTGTTGTCCTCTGCACAGGAACACTTGTCTCCAGCTGTGATTCATGTCACGATGAAGCCGCCTGCCACGAGTCTAAAGAAAGAGGCGACACTTTCTCAAGCCAGACGCTCTCTTGTGTCTGTAACGATGGTTTTGTAGGTGATGGCCTCATGTGTTACAATATAAAACTCTGTAGTGACTCTTCTTGCTGTAAAGAAGGTTATCAGTGGTCACCAGACAGGGGCTGTGTGGACACGGACGAGTGCTCTCTTACAGACTCCCCATGCAAACCATCTCAGGTTTGCACAAACACTCCAGGCTCTTTCGTATGCTTGGAGCCTTCCCCCAGCTCCAGATCAGGTCCCTCCTCCCAGTCTGTCCAGTTCAGCTGTGGATCCACTGTGTGTCCTTCAGGCACAGACTGTGTCAGAATGAATGGGACTCTCCAGTGTGCTGACCCCTGCCAGGAGTACACTGTGCTGAATGATGACTGGCGATCAACAAATAACACGTCCACCCAGAACCTACACTGTGACCAACATGTTGACTGGCAAGGCTGGTATCGGCTGTTTCTGGGCCAAACCAGTGCTCATATTCCAGAGAAGTGTGTGGCTGAAAGAAGGTGTGGAACCCATGCTCCTCTGTGGATAACAACTCCTCATCCCACACAGTCAGGTCAGATTGTGAGCCGCACTGTGTGTGGCTCATGGTCAGGAAGGTGCTGTCGTTTCTCCTCACACACCATCCATGTCAAGCTCTGCTATGGAAACTACTTCATCTACAAACTTGTACGGCCAAGCAACTGTCACCTTGCATACTGTGCAGGTATTGTTCCATTTGTAACATTAACTCTGTAACCACATATTTACATTTTTCATCTAATTCAGTTATTTAAAGAATGACTCTATTGTCACTGTTGTTCTTGAATCTGATTAGAAATGTTCCTTTAGTTAAGAAACGGTATCTACTTGTTTTCATTGTAACCAGAGGTGAACGGAGCAACTCCTGAAAATCCTTCAACCACACTTGATCCAAGTACAGCGACCTCTTCTGCCAGTCAGGTCAATATCACCTCCACCACAACACCCGACAACAGCTCAGCAGTTGAGGGTGAGGTCCGTCTGGTTAACAGAGGGAACCAGTCCTGCTCTGGCAGAGTAGAGATCTTCCACCGTGGACAGTGGGGGACGGTGTGTGATGATCAATGGGGCCTGGCTGATGCTCAGGTGGTGTGCAGACAGATGGGCTGTGGCAGGGCTCTGTCAGCACCATCAGTTGCTTATTTTGGACAGGGCAGTGGACCCATCTGGATGGATGATGTCTCTTGCACAGGCAGCGAATCAAAGCTTGGAGAGTGTAGGCACAATGGGTTTGGATCACACAACTGTGGACACAATGAAGACGCTGGTGTCGTCTGTGAAGGTAAATATAATTGTTTCGATCTGTCAGAAATTCGTTATGGTGTTATATTTGGCAGAGAGGAGTTAAGTAAACAGGAACCTGATAGAGAAATATGAGTTTGATGCAAATATTATCGTCATGCCTTTCAACCTTTAGGAGTCTTTGTCCTGTTGAAGTAGATAGGTAGTATGTAGTTTTAACATATATCATTGTCTTTATGATGTTGAAGAGGGTTTTACTTGTCAGATAACTATTTGATTAACATAAAATATAATCTTTACACTTCTTCAGCTAGAGACTGTTACAATTTCTTTTTTAAACATCTTGTCTTTTGAAGTTGTCATGAATGTTAAAAAAAACAAAGGAGGTGGACCCTATTGCAGAAACTAACGTAAATATTTACGAACTGAAATATCCAAAAAGTCCAAAAGAAGAACACAAACCACGAGGAAACACTGACATCTACAACTAACATACAACAACTTACAATGATCTGAAAACACGAGGGAAGGAACACAAAGACTAAATAGACACAGGGTAATCAGACACAGGTGAGACGTATGACACAGGGAAACACAGAGACAGGAATTAAGACAAGAAACCCTGAGGACCAGAACTACAATATAAATCAGGAAACACTGAAGACACAAAGAGAACTCAAGAATGTAACAATAACAAAACACACTAGAACATAGAGAAGCACAAGAATATGTAATTACAAAATAAAACAGGAAACTCTAAAGATCAAACAAGGAAACATTGACACACAAGGGAAACAAGCAACACTAGAATAGACAATCATCAAGAAAGACAGAAAGTGACAACTGAGCAACACTAGGGAAGAATGAGAAATTAAAACAAGGAAATCTAAACATTGAAAATACACAACTAAACAAGACCATATCATGACAGAAGTCACTCTTTCTTGTGTCTCTCATCATCAACATAAAGTCTCATGTTTTCCGTCAGCTGCTGCACCAGTCAGGCTGGTCAACTCTAATAACCGCTGCTCTGGCAGAGTGGAGGTCTACCATGATGGTCTGTGGGGGACAGTGTGTGACGATGCCTGGGACCTCAGTGATGCTAACGTGGTGTGTAGACAGCTGGACTGTGGCCCTCCTCGTTCAGCATTACTAAATGCAGCTTTTGGACAGGGCAGTGGACCCATCTGGTTGGATGATGTTGGTTGTTCTGGCAACGAAATATCAATAACAGAGTGCAGACATCCAGGGCTTGGGGTCCACAACTGTAATCACGTTGAAGATGCCAGTGTCATCTGTGAAGGTTAATGTTTATACTTTTTTTTAAAACTCCTATTCTTGTTCTCCTATTTGTCTATTGAAGTGTTCTCGTGAATGAAGTCAAACACTGACCACATGTAATAAACGTTGTTTTGTAGCACTGTATGTTCAAAGTGCAGTACTAGGTATAATATTTTAAATATATGGATCAAGATTTATGCCCAACTCTAACTTGACTGATGTGTGTGATAAAGAAAGAGATCATTTGCTCATAAATATTGATAACAATGTAGACTGTAGTTGTGTAAGGACTTGATAGAGACTCTTCTTTTCGGTCAACCAGAATCTAACAGCACAGTTGTACCCACCATACCTGTTACAACACCTGGGAACATCATCACCTCTGAAGTGACAGCTGACATCCTCTCCACCACAACACCCGACAACAGCTCAGCAGTTGAGAGTGAGGTCCGTCTGGTTAACAGAGGGAACCAGTCCTGCTCTGGCAGAGTAGAGATCTTCCACCGTGGACAGTGGGGGACGGTGTGTGATGATCAATGGGGCCTGGCTGATGCTCAGGTGGTGTGCAGACAGATGGGCTGTGGCAGGGCTCTGTCAGCACCATCAGTTGCTTATTTTGGACAGGGCAGTGGACCCATCTGGATGGATGATGTCTCTTGCACAGGCAGCGAATCAAAGCTTGGAGAGTGCAGGCACAGAGGGTTTGGATCACACGACTGTGGACACAATGAAGACGCTGGTGTCGTCTGTGAAGGTAAATATAATTGTTTCGATCTGTCAGAAATTCGTTATGGTGTTATATTTGGCAGAGAGGAGTTAAGTAAACAGGAACCTGATAGAGAAATATGAGTTTGATGCAAATATTATCGTCATGCCTTTCAACCTTTAGGAGTCTTTGTCCTGTTGAAGTAGATAGGTAGTATGTAGTTTTAACATATATCATTGTCTTTATGATGTTGAAGAGGGTTTTACTTGTCAGATAACTATTTGATTACATAAATATATCTTTACACTTCTTCAGCTAGAGACTGTTACAATTTCTGTTTTTAAACATCTTGTCTTTTGAAGTTGTCATGAATGTTAAAAAAAAACAAAGGAGGTGGACCCTATTGCAGAAACTAACGTAAATATTTACGAACTGAAATATCCAAAAAGTCCAAAAGAAGAACACAAACCACGAGGAAACACTGACATCTACAACTAACATACAACAACTTACAATGATCTGAAAACACGAGGGAAGGAACACAAAGACTAAATAGACACAGGGTAATCAGACACAGGTGAGACGTATGACACAGGGAAACACAGAGACAGGAATTAAGACAAGAAACCCTGAGGACCAGAACTACAATATAAATCAGGAAACACTGAAGACACAAAGAGAACTCAAGAATGTAACAATAACAAAACACACTAGAACATAGAGAAGCACAAGAATATGTAATTACAAAATAAAACAGGAAACTCTAAAGATCAAACAAGGAAACATTGACACACAAGGGAAACAAGCAACACTAGAATAGACAATCATCAAGAAAGACAGAAAGTGACAACTGAGCAACACTAGGGAAGAATGAGAAATTAAAACAAGGAAATCTAAACATTGAAAATACACAACTAAACAAGACCATATCATGACAGAAGTCACTCTTTCTTGTGTCTCTCATCATCACACAAGTCTCATGTTTTCCGTCAGCTGCTGCACCAGTCAGGCTGGTCAACTCTAATAACCGCTGCTCTGGCAGAGTGGAGGTCTACCATGATGGTCTGGTGGGGGACAGTGTGTGACGATGCTGGGACCTCAGTGATGCTAACGTGGTGTGTAGACAGCTGGACTGTGGCCCTCCTCGTTCAGCATTACTAAATGCATTTTGGACAGGGCAGTGGACCCATCTGGTTGGATGATGTTGGTGTTCTGGCAACGAA